TTTGCCAAGTTGTTGCCACATCGCAAATCTTGTGGCGTCGTGCGGGATTAAGCTCTTCGGGGTTTACGACGTTAGTTGACGTCTTTGGCCCCGGGCGAAGGGAGGCCACGCGGATTTGGCATGGTGTGAAATGTTTATTTCGTTGCCTCGGAAAATTTTAAACTAGAATGTAATGATTTTACATGTTTCTTCCACACGTATGCACACGCTCGCGCGCGCGCGCGCCCACAGACACCCACCACACTACACTACACACACACACACAAATACAAACACATTCACACGTGCACACGTACTCGCACACGCACACACGCAAACGCACATGCACACACACACGCGCGGGCACCCACGCAGGCATACACGCACGCACATACAAAAAAACACGCCCCCACTGCACCTTTTGCTATTCCGCCTGTCATCCCGCGCCATCCGACTCTGTTTTTGCGAGGACCCTCATTAAGGTCGACGTTTTGTGCGCACAGCGGTTGGACGTTTCGAAAAGACTTTCCTAGTGGGAATCTCCAGCGACATGAAGTGAGGTTCTGAGGCCGCGGAGGCTCGCCGGCAGAGTCTGGCCTCGGGCGCGTCGGAACGAAGGTTCGACGCGGGGCTGGCGCAACCAAGGTCCTCATCGCCCTCGGCTGCAGCTCCCCCAACACCGGCGCAAAGGAAAGGCGAGAGAAAGCGGCTCCTGTTGCAGCCTCGACGCGGCAAAGGGAGAAAGGAAAAGGACGAGGCAGCGCCATGGCCGCGCGGAGCCCCCTCGCCGCTCGGGCCAGGGATGCTGCCGCGGATGATGCCTCTGGTGACGGAGATGAATCTTTATGCTAATGGCGATTGCGCAACCGCGTGTTTGCTCTCACAGCGTGGGTCCGGAGAGAGAGAGAGACGTCCAGACTCAGACTGAGAAGGACGTTGGTTTTAAACGAGAAGAATCCACAAAAGATTCGCAGAACAAAGGGCGCAGAGAAGGAAGACGAGAGAAGATAAGGAGGGAAGAGAAAGCGTGACAGCATCATGCAAGTGACGGCGCTGCGGTCGTGGGAGAGGGGCTGCTGCAGCAAGAACGGATGGGGGAAACTGACGTCACATTCATTGGGCGAAGAAACCAGGAGACAAGAAGTGACGTCCAAGGCCACAGATCAGACAGGACGCCCCCTACTTTCCCATATGTGCCCCTCCCCCTCTCACATCTCTCCCTCCCCTGCCTCTCACATTTTCCCCTCCTCCTCCTCTCACACCCCTCCCTTCTCCATCTCCTTTCGCATCTCTCCCTCCTTCGCCTATTACTCCTCTCTTTCCTCCCCCTCTCACATCTCTCCCTCCTTTGCCTCTCGCATCTCTCCCCCCCCCCTCTCACATCTCCCCATCCTCCCCCTTTCTCACCTTTCCCTCCGCCTCTCCCATCTGCCACCCCCCCTCCCCTCCCCCACCGCATATCCCTCGACGGAAAGGGTGCGCGGGAAGGGCATCAGCAACAGAGCCTTTTAACCACCATCCACTGAAAGGAACAGATGAGGTCGAGGAGAGATCGAAGTAAAGGGAAATCCCATGTCGAGTATCCCTGCAGTTTCAGTGTTGCAAAAGCTCATTATGATGGTTAAGTCATCGCCGAATTGAAGGAGGCAGAGAGGGGGCGGGAGAGGCTAGGAGGGAGGAGCCTGAGAGGGTATGCGAACAATATGGACAGACTGAGGTCACAGTGGGTCAGCGGGGTCAAGCGGAGGTGTATGGGCAATACGTAACCTCCCGCTATGACCTCGGATTGTGAATGCCAAATAGGAATTAATTTCGTAATATAACGAGTGTCCTAAGTGTAAGGAAACCTAGACACGCGGGCGCCTAAAGCTACCTTGATAAGAAGTATGTGTCTGGAAAATAAAAAGTCGCAGGATGGGTATATTCCCGGAAGACCTTTTCGCCGAAAATGACTTTGGAATGATGCGACTCTCCCCGCCCTCCCCACGCTTCCCAGCCCCTTCCACCGGCCTTTCTCGCACACCTTTCATGTCCTTGCCCTTTCCTTTGCCTACGCAACCGAAGCTCTTCAAGACGATGTACCTTCTTGCTGTGTGTGATGCTGATTAACGCTTATTGTCTGGCTCATCAGGGTGCCTAATGGGGGGGTCTTCAGTGCTCACACGCCTTTCACTCGATCGTGACGCCGACGCGGGCCAACGCGTGTCCCTTTAGCCATCACTCGATGGGAGAGAATGAGAGAGAAAGAGAGAGGAGATGGAGATAAGATGCATTTCGAGGGTTAACGAAGGTCGCGACCCGTGGCGCGCTAAGCGGGCGTGATGCGCAACTCGTCCCTGAGGAAGTCCGCGATCGGCCTCTTCAGCACCCGTGAGAAAGTCCCGGTGGGAAAGGCAAAAAATGGCAGGCTCGGTGCTTGCGATGCTCTTCGTAGGCGAATCTCGTATAATTGACACCAGCGTTTGCACGCACAGGGAAGAAAGTAGGACTGTCTTTATTGTTTGTGGTTCCATGCTAACACTTTGCTTCTCCCACAGGCACGTGTGATGGCAGGCGCGGCGGCCGGTCCCCGGGAGTACGGCGGGGCAGTGGCGTGGCCGCGGCTCGTTACGTCACGTCCAACGGCCTGTCGGAGGCGGAGCAGGCGCCGTCGTTGGACTACGTGACGCTGCTGGAGGAGATGAGCGGCGACTTCGGCGTCCGGTCCGACGTGGTGGAGGCGGCGACTCGAGAGCCCGAGTACCACGGCGCCGAGACCCTGGTTGTGCCGCTGTACATCCCCGAGGGCGCCGTGCCGATCAACCTGGCCAGGATTGCGCGCTCGGGCAGCCCTGATTCTGTTGTCGAGCTCGTCGACATGAAGGTCTCGCCGTCTGCGGATTCGGTCCTCATCCGACGCCTTGGGCCAGCCAGCGGGCCCAGGACGCGCCCCAGGCGCCCCCCTCAGAGGACGCGCGTCTCCCGCCTGCCCTCCATTCGCAGGTCGGATCTGACGAGCCAACGGCCAGTAACGCTGCCCACGGCGGTCCCGGGCCCTCTGCTGGCGCGCTTCGGGCAGCGCTTGACGTCGCCGAAAGCGGCTCCCCTCATAGCCGTCCGCCGCACGCCCCTCACACAGGGGGTCTCGGACAGGACGGCGGAAGACAGCGAGGAAGAGGAAGAGAACAAGCGCGCTAAGAAGAACGAACTTAGCAAGGACTCACAGTTTCACCATCACCCACCAAGCGGCGCTGCTGAAAACACGAGTTCTTCTGCTTCACCAACGGAGCCTCCCATCACGACGCTCAGACCCGCGAGTCCCGCCACGAGTTCTTACACCACGGAGCCTGCCACGTCATCTGCCGCCACCACTTCTACTACTACTGCTGCTACTACTACAACTGGCACTACTACTACTACTACTACTACCACTACCACTACTGATGCGTCTCCCAGACCATCAACGGAAACAGCTGATGTGGCTATCACCCCGGGTACGTCTGCAAGATCTCCCACGACCACAACAACCCAGGCGACTCCTTCATCGACAGAAGAAAATTCCTCGCCTTGGGACCGCTCAGCACTTTTCCCTTCCCGCCCTGTAGAGTCTTTTCTGAAGAAACAGAAGCAGGATACCACTACAGAGGAACCACCGTCAACAACTACTACTACTACTACAACTACTTCCACGACAGCCACACCCCGTAGGACAGGCCACTTTAGATTTCGTCCAAGGTTTAACAGACAGAAGGCAACCATCACCACCACATCAGCCACCAGTACAGATTCTAATACCACTTCAACATCCACGACTCCTTCAACTACCTCAGTGACACCTACTCACAAGACTTCCCTGCCTGACAGAAGTAGAATTGTCTTAACAAAGAGACCTGCATCCACAACTGAAATGCCTGATGTAACATCACCATCATCAACAACAACAACTACAACTACAACTGCTACAACAACTACTAGTATTCCCATAAGCACCACTACAAAATCTCCACCAGTAACTACAAGGAGACCTCCTCTTTTGCTTGCAACGAAAAGACCTACCACGACTACCACAGTGTCAACCACAACAGATTCTACAACTTCAACGACTCTTACCGCACCAGCTGAAACCACCAGGAGGATTCCATTTGTCATCCGGAAACCAGGTGATGCACTGACTCCAGTGAGGAAGATGCCGAGTGTCAAGGAAGTACTTGGGAGCACTGAAGATCAAGAGCAGCACGAGGAGAAGGCAGCAGACATAAGAGAAAACAGCACAAATGCCCATGTTCCTAACCTGGAAGTCACAACTAAAGATAACATATCAATTGAAGAGGCAGTCAGCCAAACGCACATCAGTGAAGAGGAAGACTTGATGTCTGAAAAGGAAGATGTAGAAACAGAACTCGAAAGTGAGCCCCCTGTAACACCTTCGAGAAAGGATCTAAGGTGGTCTCGCCCTCTGCCACAGAATCCCAACTCAAAGGTCAGAGGTGAAGGAAGGCCGAATGGTCCCCCCAGAAGAAGACGACCTCGTCCTCGAACAACTTCCCTGCCTCCTGTGACTCGGGCTAGCGATTATTTCAAGGTTCCTGCTGAGTTTGTTGCAGTTAGCACAGCAACTGAAGCGACAGGAATGCCTTCAAGTAATGCCTCATTAACACCTAACTACAACGCATCAACATCACACCCAATAGCAGCTGGGGCAACTGAGAAATCTCCAGAAGAAGTTGTAATTGAGAGCTTAACAGAAATCATGAAGGAAGCCACCACCAACAACAAGAGCAAAGACAAGTTTTCCACTATTGCTGGGAACCTCGAGGCCCTGAACAAGCAGTTGGCTGAGCAAGGGATTCATATCATCCATGCTGAGATAGATGGCGTTCGGATTAAACTGGACAATCGTACCCTAGTTCGACCCACTACTTCATATCCAGAACCAACAACATTCCGACCTTCTACAGAATTTAAAGTTTCCTCATTATCTGACTTCCTTTCAACCACAGAAGATCCCTCAACTAATCTGTTTTCACCGCCAGTAGAGAATC